TCTTTGTTCAACATTCAACTTCAAAAAGAAAAACAATTCAGAGAATCAAGCAATCAAATTAAGGTACTAAATCAATGAAATCATAATTTTTTTTTTATCCTTTTAACTTTCTTACCTACTAAAAATAGTCCATTCTCGTTTCAGTTTTTTGAATCAAAGAAAGAAACACTACAGTCTCAGCCCTCTGTTACTGCTAACGTTGAAGGGACCAATCACCAGTGGACGGCGGAGTGGAGCACAGAGAATAAGAGATACTCTCTTTCTCTTGGTCTTTTTTATGGACTAATGGACGAACCACAAATTATAAGTTTCTTTTATTTTAATTTAAACTTTTGTCTTATACTTGTTGTTAGTGAATATGTTTGAGTAATAAAAATTAGTAACTTGATATAGCATTTGATTAGTAGAGGAATCAAAAGGTTTAGAAACACCTTGAAGATAACAAAAAGCAACTACACTTAAAATTTGAACAAGAACAACCATACAAGCTATACTTTTAGCATCTTCAATGTATTGTGTATCAAGCACTTATGATTAGGGATGTTGTGGATTAGATTAGAATTTTTTTTTTTTGTTTATCATTATGTTAGCTTATTATTTATTTATTTGCTTTTTGTTAGGATCATCTTATCGATGGGAAAAAATGGAACAATTGAAACATTTTTTCAAAAGAAAAAGGGAAGGGAAGATGATTCAAGGCAAAATGAAGGGGCATAAAAAAAAAATAGTTGAGGATTTTCAACAAGATCCTACACAAGTTATCTCTAAAGAGCCTACACAAGAAGAAGATTCAAAAGTCAATATAAATGGTTTTCTCATTTAGTGTGATCCTAAAAAACAAAAGCGTATATATGAATATACCCTAAAAGAGCAAGATCGAATTTAAAGAACTTATCTTATTATCAGTGCATATCAACTAAAACGAGATGAGTACAAAAAATTTGGGCCTATAGGCCATCAACGTCACTTTATGCCTTCATGGTTTACAATTAAAACGTTTCAAAAATGGTTGGAATATTCTCCTGAAAAAGATGTAGCTTTTTGTTTCTATTGTTTTTTGATTATTTACATTGAAAAGAAAATTATTCAAACATTTAGTGTAGACGCCATTATTGATAAATTTTGTGACATAAAAAACTTGTTGAGTATTATTTACTTTATGATGTAAAAGCAAAATTTGGGAATTATAATGTATTATTTTGAAACTTGAAAATTTGGTCCTTTTGGCCAAAATTCCTAGCTCCGACCCTGCTTGCAAGGACAACCTTTGATGACAATGTGACCATCTTTTTGAATGATAACAACTTGGAGAGGATTTGTCTTCAAAGCACCAGAGTTAGCCTTGATTTCAAAATGATGCTACTAGTCCAACATGGTCAACCCATGGCTTTAACTTAAAAAAATGGAAAACAAAGAAAGTGAGTCTCGCATTTGATAATACTGTGGTTTTAACCAGAAAATAATGAAAAATAAAGATAATAAGAGCATCTGGTACTTGTTTAAGATACTGTTTTTGTGTTAACAAGTAATTTGCCTCTACTTATCTTAGTTTCCTCCAACTGCTTAAATTCTTAATTGCAATTATGACATATGGTTTGGAGCATGTTAAATTCTTGAATTCTTAATAAATAAGCCGATTTCATGCATTTTATGGACGCCATCAATCATTTGGTCCATAACTGGGACTGAAACCCCATGATCGACCAATTGGAAGATTCCCAAGTCTCAGCCGCATCGCGGATTTGATTCACTATCTCCGCTCCGCGGCCGGCTTCCATCTCCTTGAGGTCAATTAAAGAGACCTGGAATTGGACATCTTCGGAGGATGGTTTCGGTAATTGCTCCAGTGGATGGACCAAGGAACTGGGGAGCTTACTCACTCCAGAGGCCTTTAACTCCAGTACCGGATTCCATTAACTCATTTATTTCTTTCAGTACTGGAGATTCATATTCAGCTGGTGGAATGGTTGCCATGTTGGGGTTTCTTCAAATTACAGAGGGCCAGCTGTTCAAACTCAAAATACGTAAGGGAATTTAATTTGGGTAATGAGAGACAGCAAATTATGACCACATTGTTGTTACGCGTAAGCATGTAAATACTATATTTTGGTCTTATTAAGTTGGCTGGAATGGAAATCCACCATCAAGCTGATCTGCAAGCATGCGCATTATCTTTTAGGGGCTTTAATACATGTGAAAGGAAAATGACGACTGCATTAATATTTAACTAGTTAGCTTCTTTGACCCTGTCATTGATATGAATATACTTTGTAGTGCATGATTGAAGAATATAACATTTTATTTTGGGGGGTAAATTTGGAGTATAACTTAATGGTTAGAAGTTTAGTTTCTAATAATCCATAGGGATAATTCTTGTAAAAAATGGTGTCATGTAGTTGAAATTTTACTGAATTGTATAACTCTTATTATGGATGGGGTGAGCTCTTATATTGGGGGTTGTTTCCCCATTCATTAAAGTCATATAAGTGTACCTGCAAAGACTCCTTTAAAGAAGCTAGAATTTACAACTATGTGTAAATTTTGCTTCTAGAAAAGCCAGAAATGCT